CAAAGGCTTATATTTGACCAACGCATCAAGTCAAAGACAATTGAGCATTGAGGACTCGTTCCTCGTAAAGCGATCAGTAAATTTTGCCTATAGATGAGCAAGATACTTGAAAAGATCTTTTTAGGATTTTTCTCAGTTTCATAGGCTATCTAACGGAGATTGCGGTCAGTAACATCATCGAGCAATCTGACAATAATGAGCAAACAGAACTGGTATACTGTTACATAGTAACAAAGCATAACTAAGATTTTTCGGAAAAAAACGTTATTTGTTATTTTTTTGTTTTTAATAACAAATAACTTTTTTTGTTATTGTTATTAATAGCAATAACTTTTTTTGTTATTTGTTATTGATAACAATAACTTTTTTGTTATTGTTGTTAATAACAATAACAATAAATTCACACCCCTACTCTCAAGGGCTATTCTATGGAGGTACCGATAGGCCCTCAAGAGCGTTATATAGAGGTACCCATACGTCATCAAGGGCTATCCAATGGAGGTACCCATTGGCTCTCAGAAGCTATTATATGGGGATACCCATAGGTTCTCATGGGCTATTATGTGAGGGTACCCATAGGTCCTGAAGGGAGTATGGCAAGAAGAGAGTAAGGCAATAAGGGGATAATGCTACAAGAGCTACCAGGGATATAAGGCCGAAGGCTAATGGACTATCAAACTATGTGCGATGTAAGAGTATGAGGCCGTAGGGCTACTTATCCATATACATAATAGCGAGTGTCTGTATGTCCGTTACCGGATGAAAAGTTAGACGTCCGTCGTCATACGTGAGAGGAAAAACAAATAGCCGTGCAGTGTGCACGGGCTCTCGCTAGTAATAATAATAATAATGTCATCTGATCAATGAAATCTAATCATCTCAGAAAACTTATAAAAGAGATTGTCTATGTGAATCTTTTGTTCACCTATTCACATCCTCAATTTGTTTTCTCTTGTAATCAAACGCTGATTTTCTAGTTTCCGTAAAATTAATATAAAAGGAAACTAAATCAAATATTTATTTCTGTAAAAATCAACATGACTCAATACATTCATAGATTCTCTTGTAGAATTTACTGTAGATGTCATAGTTGACAAGAAACTTTAATTGAATTTAGTATAGGAGCGCGAGTCGAAAAAACGAATTCCTTTAAACAAAATATTTTCATTATAAAAATAAAATTTTATAAAAAAAATTGAGGTATCAATCACTTATACAAGATCTCTCAGAAATATGCCATATTAAATCACATAGACTATATATAAGAAAATTTAATGAATAAATGTTCTATTTATTTTCTTTTTCATCTAACTTTACTAACACACATCAAATATGAGCTTGTTGAGTCAATAGATTTCAATATTTCGACTGCTCTATTATATTGATTATATGACTCATAGATGGATTGATATATTTTGCTATATTCAAATTTTGTAATTTGTGACTCTAAAATAATTTTTTTCTTGTGCTAGATTCCAATGTTATTTATTTATTGATTTGAATCTTATTTATTCATGTTCCTGCTTATGAAATATTCAAAGATTAAACTAAAAATTATGAATGATTTTCTATACTAAAACACACTCTTATATTGTTGAGCTTAATCTACTTATTCGGAGCATATGTTTATGTCTATGGAATAAAAAACACACTTCATCAATGATTGTCATCTAACCAATCATTCAATGTCTTCATGTTTCCATGACAAAATTGTTGAGTTATACATTAAATTCAGTAGGAGAATTGATGTGTTGGCCAATTTATTATTCATAAATTGTGTAACAATCTCGATTGTGCATCCTTATCTTTGAAAATCAAAGAAAATCAATCAAATGTAATTACCAATAAACAAGTTTTTCTACTAATATGTTGACAATATTTTCACAGATTATTTACTCAACAAAAATAGTCTCTATGATAAGATTATTCTTTGGAAAAAAGTCCAAAGAAAAATAAACTTTAATACTAAGATTTAGTTTTGACAACAAACATTGAATTATTTATCAATTGTTAGCCAGTATTGAAACAATACCAATAATAATTCATCTTCTTTTTTTTTAGTCTATTCCGATAAAAGAATTTTAATATAACATTATTTAGATTTTATCTTTGATATAGCTGTTTTGAATCATAAGAAAATAAGTCGTAATCAATAAAATGATGAGAATCTTTTGTGCAACGCACTTTGAAGATATCGAAAAGAGGAAAATTATTGGAAAGAAAACGTGAAAATACAAACATACGGTGAGAGGAAGAAAAATGAGAAAGTTAATCGATAACATGAACAGTATAGAATTTTGAATCGACTTCAATTTGAGAAGGCGATAGTTTATTCTGTCCAGTATTTGATGTTGAATTATTGTTTTGTCCAGTATTCGAAGGTGCATTAGAACGACCCGTGTTTTTTGTTGGTTGTGTAGATGATTTTTGTGTCGATTGTATATTATCTGGTGTCTATAATATGAAGACGAATACAAAATATTACTATAAATATAACAGTATTAAAACTTAGAACAACATACCTTAGAAAATGCTTGGCTGCTTGTAGTGGCACCTTCAATAGCAGACGAACTTCCTTTCCTGAAGAACAAAGTTTAGAAGTAGTAATAGAAAAAGAAAAAAAGATCGTCTACGAACATAAGATATTTTGTCACAAAGTAAGCGCAAACGCCAACACCTCCTATACCAGCTGTAGCACCAGCGAATGCACCTACTACAGTACCTAGATTCGTCGAACTCTAAATAAAAATTTTGAAATATTAGATATTCAGAGAAATATACTTAACACGAAAATTTCACATATATGATTGTGTAACTGACCTGACTTGAGTCGTCTGTGCTTGATCCCTGACTGCCGGAACTTCCTCCAGCACCACCACCTGGTGCATTTGTTCCTCCAGCACCACCACCTGGTGCAGTTGTTCCTCCAGCACCACCGCCCGGTGCAGTTGTTCCTCCAGCACCACCACCCGGTGCAGTTGTACCTCCAGCTAGTGTTGTGCTTGTAGATACTGGAATTGTTGCTATGAAGAAAAATAACGATTAGATTTTGTCTAAATTCGACGGATTGTTTTTAATTCGAACAAAAGGATGATTACAAAGACAACAGATCGATATTTTTAAAAATTCATTTCACAATAAATACACTTACTTATTGCAACTGGAGTAGTTGCTGATGTTGTAGTTGTTGAGGTCGTAGAAGGACCTGTCGTAGAAGTTGTTGTAGTTTCTGTTGTAGTTGTAACACTTGTTGTTGTTTGTGATGTAGTAGTAGTTGTTGATATTGTTGTTGTCGTACCATTATAGACTATTGAAAAGAAATTATAGCAGAATTTTTAAGTTAAGATAATAAAAATGAACTCATTATTTGTTTTTTTTTACTTACCACATCTGTATAAGGTGATTCGATGATTACTCATATCTGCAATATAAATATTACTAATCGAATCAAGTCGCATTCCTCTTGGATTGCTGGAAGCCATTGATATAATTGTATCAGCAACTGAAGAACCAGGAGCAAATCTTTGAACACGATTATTACCAGCATCCATAACGTATCTAAATACAAGACGCAAATATTTTACTAAATAAACACCTACATTAGATTTTACAGATTATTGTTAGTATCAACGGCAATTGTAGTAGGAGAACTCAAGTAAGTTGCTGTTGATCCAGGTGTACCCGTTACACCGGCAATAACTACACCAGTAGTAGCGCCTTTAATACATATATAACAAAAAAATTTCCATAGAGAATACAATGAAAATTTCTTTTAAAACATACCTGCAGTCCAAGTTACAATTCGATGATTGGATCGATCTGAAATATATAATGCTGCATTTGAATCGACAAACAATCCCCAAGGAGAATTTAATTGATTCAGTGCAGTACCAGCACTACCAATGCCTGCAACCTATAATTTAAGAAATAAATTTTTCAAGAAGAATACAAAAGTAATAATGTAATACCAATTGACCAGCAGCTGTATTTGAAGCATACCATACTGTCACACGATGATTACTACTTTCCGATACATATATATTTCCGACGTTATCAACAAATATTGCATAAACTAATCCAATTTTATCATATGTTGCTCCATTGCCTCGTCCACCAGCTACCGTAAAACCTAATGGTTGATTTGGTAACCATTTTTGAATTCTGTAATTGCCAGCATCTGCTATGTACATGACTCCATCAGGATCGACAAATATTGCTGTTGGATTATATAATTCTGAATATCCACTACCGCCAGTTAGTGTAAAACCAGCTACCGTAGTTCCAGTTGGTGGTCCTATTGTTGTGTCCGCTAGAATTCAACAAAAAAGTCAATTTAGCTTAAAGATATGAAAAGAAGTTATTTTTAACCTGGTGGAAATTTTTGAATTCGACTATTTCCATTATCAGCAACATAAATATATTGATTACCATCAACATATATATCCATAGGATTGTTTAGATAAGCTAATCCTGAACCAGATGTTGGTGAAGTACCAGCTGCTATTGTCCAAGTAGTATTAAAAGTACCTGTTTGACATGGTAAGTTCGGAGGTAAAGCTATAAAAAAAGAGTAGATAAATTAGTTTTAGAAGTTTTTTCGAAATTTATTAAAAATCATACTGGGAGGTGGTTGAGTAACTGTTGTTGGATTGGCTATAAAAATAAAAATAAAATATAGTTCTCTGTTAGATATGGTATTGAGTATAGTTTTAAATAATTGTTGAAAATGCAAAAGAAAATTAAAATTACTTACGACATGCAACATTGAACGAAATAATTCGATGATTAGATGTATCAGCAACAATTATATTACCCGATGAATCGAAATTCATTCCAGATGATAATGCACTCATTGTAGATGCTACAACTGTTACTCCATAAGTCATTCCTGGTAGCCATCTTTGTATTCGTAAATTTCCAGCATCCAGAACATACATATAACCATATTGATCAAATATGACTGCCGTAGGTGAACTCAATTGATAAGACCAAGAACCAGCAACAGTACTCTGTCCAGCAATGGTATCACCGATAGCCGCGCCTATAAAAAATAATTGTTAGATGAAAATAGATCTCTAATAAATTGATAATAATTACCAGCAGGCCATTTTTGGATTCGATGATTTAATCGATCAGCAACATACAATACATTATTAGCATCAACATAGATTCCCCACGGAGAATTAAGTTTGTCGGCTGTAGTACCAAGAATTGAAGTACCCGCTACCTTTAATTTACAAAAGAAAAATATTTTAATATAAATCATATGAAAACATATTATACCAATTGCCCAACAGTATTATTTCCGTATATCCATTTGGTAACACGATGATTTCCATATTCAGATACATATATATTATTTTGTTGATCGATGAACATTGCATAACTGAGTCCAATCTTATCCAATGTTGTACCTGAACCTCGACCATTAACAACTACAGTACCAAATGTATCACCTAAAGTCCATTTCAAAACTCGATAATTTAATGTGTCTAATATGTACATGATTCCATTTGAATCGAAATCGACTGCCGTTGGATTGTTGAATTGTGCGAGTGAAGTATTAGGAGCAGAAGTAACACCAGCTACTGTCTTTCCTACATTTGACCCTGAATAAAAGAAAAAAAAATTTCTTTCATTTATTCAAACTAATATTTGTTATATACTCGGTGAATATTGTTGAATTCTATGATTTACAGTATCAGCAACATACATATTGAAATATCCATCGAAATTAACACCGTATGGACTAGAGAGAAATGTTGGTGTAGATCCTGCAAGCGACGTTGCACCTACGATGATAGTAACATTTGAATTCCAAGCTGCTGTTGGACACATAAGAGTTGTTGTTGACGCTATTTAACAAAGCAACAAGAATATAAAAATAATCAAAATGAAGAAATAACTTACTAGGTGGTGTTGGAGTTACTGTTGATGGATTAGCTAAACATAGGGAAAAAAAAGAAAAGACATTAAGTAATTAATTGATATCAGTCTGTTATTGAAACATTATAGGATTGATATTGTGTGAAACTTTCTTGTTAAAAACGTTTTTGATATGTCACAGGAAAAAAAACTTTTTCTTCTTCTTATTTTTTTTCTATCATCACTTACGACACCATATAGAAAACGACACGATTCGTTGATTGCCTGTATCGGCCACGTAGAGATTACCAGCACGATCAATATCCATTGATAATGCACCACTTAATGTTGCTGATAACACAGTTATACCATAAGTGCCTCCGGGCCACCATTTTTGCACTCGATTATTGCCAGAGTCCAACACAAACATATTACCATATGGATCGAATGCAATTGCTGTTGGACTATTGAACTGATAAGACCATGGACCTGGATCACTAGTTGATCCAGCAACAGTAACACCAGAAGTAACACCTTTATTGGATATTTTTAATTAATTATACAATTAAATAAAATTAACTACTTACCCGTCACCCATTTTTGCACACGATGATTACCACGATCAACTACATAAACTGTAGTACTGTCAGCATAGATTCCCCAAGGGCCATTTAATCTATCTGCTGTATTACCTAAACCATTACCGCCAGCTACCTAAAATCAATAATCATAGAAAATAATAAAAACAATATCAAATATATAAGTAATGAATCATACTAATAGACCAGCAGTTGTATTTCCATTAAACCATTTTGTAACTCGATGATTGGCATTTTCCGATACATAAACATCATATTGACCATCAACATATATTCCATAACTTAAACCTATTTTATCAAATGTGCTGCCAGAACCTCGACCACCAGCAACGACAACACCAAGAGGTTCTCCTTCTTGCCATTTAAGAACTCTATAGTTGTAACTATCCACAATATACATTGTACCACTAGGATCCACATAGATTGCAGTAGGATAATAGAGTTGGGAAAACCCAGTACCTAGAGAGGCTGAAACACCAGCTACAGTGTCACCAGAAATAGATTCTAGAGAGAAAAGTTATTTGAAATATTAAAAATGATATGTCATGTATACCATATCGAAATCGTTGAATTCTATGATTATTATAATCTACTACGTAGACATTTTGATATGCGTCAACAGTAACATCATATGGACTAGACAGTAAATATGCTGTAGATCCTGAAAGTGATGTTCCACCAGCTATTTGAGTAAATGTTGAATTCCATGTCGCTGTTGGACAAAGTGTAACAAACATTTGAGCTATGATCATAAAGAAAAACAAATAGAAATATATACAACATATAGGATAAAAATAATAACTCACTTGGTGGTAGTGGTGCAGTTGTCGTTGTAGCAGCTTAATAAAAAAAAAACAAGAAAGAATATATTTAATATATTGTCTCATATAATTGTGTATTCGTTCTCTAGATTAGAAATCTTTTCAAAGATAATAGTTGAATAAAATAAATTAGATTCAAACAATGAACTAATTAATGCATCCAATTACATATAGATTTAGAATGAAAAGAATTGCTCGATTACATAAACTTACGGCATGTTAGAGCAAATGATAAAATTCGATGATAAGATGTGTCAGCAATAAGAATATTACCAAACCGATCAAAAGTCATGCCATTTGGACTACTCATAGTTGCTGATATAACAGTTATTCCATAAATAGCACCTGGAAGCCATTTTTGTACGCGATTGTTGCCTTGATCTAGTACATACATGTAACCATACTGATCGAAAGTGATTGCTGTTGGATTACTGAACTGATAAGACCAAGGGCCTGAACTTCCAGTTGTTCCAGCAACAGTAACACCGATAATTGATCCTGTTAAATATATATAGATACACTAATTCAGATGAGAGACTATTAACAAAACAAAACGTCTTACATACCATAACTCCACTTTTGTACTCGTTGATTATTTCGATCGACGACAAACACAGCATAACTACTATCAACATAGATTCCCCATGGTCCATTTAATTTGTCTGCTGTACTTCCACCGCCATTACCACCAGCCACCTAAAAAATAATTATCATGAAGAATATCTGTAAGTATATACATATATGTATATCATTAATAAAAACAATACCGAAACACTAGCAGTAGTATTGCTTGCAGTCCATTTCGTGACTCTATTATTACTATTTTCCGATACATAGACATTGTATTGATTATCAAGAAATAAACCATAACTTGTTCCTATTTGAGTATATGCTGAACCACAGCTTTGTCCGCCAGCAACAACAAAGCCAACTGAATCTCCTACTTGCCAACGGAGCACTCTACAGTTGGAACCATCTAAAATATACATTGTTCCATTTGAAGTGACACGTATTGCATATGGATTGTTGAGTTGAGCCCGTGCAGCACCAGGATTACTTGTGCTACCAGCAATAGTTATTGCGCCACTTATGCCTAAGGCATACAATTATATAGAGAATCATTATAGAAACATAATCTAGACTCAAACCTGGTTGAAAAAGCTGAATGCGGTGATTAGATGTATCAACTACATACATATTTTGATATCCATCATAAGCAACATCATATGGATTATACAATAAGGTTCCTGTAATACCCGTCGTTGATGTTGATCCAGCTTCAAGAGTAAATGTTTGATTCCAAGAAGCTGTTGCACACAATGAAATAGTTGGCAGAGCTATTATTCAATAGAACAAGTGAAAATATATATGTGAAAAAACATTTGAGAAATAACTCACTCGATTGTGGTGCAGCTGTTGTAGTTGTTCCCGCTAAAAAATTTCCAAAACAAAAAAGTGTATTTTAAATATTTAGTAAAAACAATAAGTTATTTCATTGTAAAATATTGAAGAAAAAGAAAATATGAACTAGTTTTAATCGAATTTTGACACATTTTCTATTTAGTATAACTTACGACATGTAACAGGAAAAGAAAGAATTCGATGATATGATGTATCAGCTATAACCAAATTTCCTAGTAGATCCCACTGCATTCCTATTGGACTACTCATAGTTGTCGATATAACAGTTGTTCCATAAATTCCTCCTGGAAACCATTTTTGAACTCTGTTATTGCCTTGATCTAGTACATACATGTAACCATACTGATCGAAAGTGATTGCTGTTGGATTATTGAATTGATAAACCCATGGACCTGGATCACTAGTTGATCCAGCAACAGTAATACCAACAGCAGCACCTATATTCGATATTTTTAATAAGATATGTGCCTCAATGAGATCGAACATTTACCTGATGTCCATTTTTGCACGCGATGATTACCACGATCAACTACATAAAGTGTATTACTACTATCAAGATAGATTCCCCAAGGTCCATTTAATTTATCTGATGTACTGCCTAAACCATTACCACCCGCTACCTAAAATCATTAATCATAGAAAATAATAAAAATAATATCAAATACATAAGCAATAAATCATACCAATATACCAGCAGTTGTATTTCCATGAAACCATTTTGTAACTCGATGATTAGCATTTTCCGATACATAAACATTATATTGATTATCAACAAACATTCCATAACTTCGTGCTATTTGATTCAATGCGGAACCAGAACCTCGACCGCCAACGATGACAGCACCAAGAGGATCTCCAACTTGCCATTTAAGTACTCGATAGTTATTACTATCTAATATGTACATTGCTCCATTAGGATCAACGTAGATTGCTGCTGGAAATGAAAGTTCAGAAAGTCCACTACCTGACGTAAATGAAATACCAGCCATGGTTTGACCAATATTTGATCCTGCATGAAAAAGTTATTTTGAAATATTCAAATTCATATCTGACATATATATATATATTTACCGGCTGGGAATAGTTGAATTCTATGATTATTATAATCAGCCACGTACATATTTTGATATCCATCAAAATACGTATCATACGGGGAAGAAAATAAAGTTGATGTAGATCCTGGATTTGATATTGCACCAGCTATGGTAGTATATGATGAATTCCATCGCGCAGTTGGACAAAGTGGAACTTGTGTTTGAGCTATTATGATAGAAAAGAAGATAAATATAGATTCTATATAGGAAAAAAAACAATAGTGAAACCTACTTGGTGGTGCTGTTGTTGTTGTAACAGATGATGCTAAAATGAAAGATATTAGTAATATTTTTCTACACATTAAACTAATGAAGAATCATAAGATTGAATTTCTTTTGCTAATACCACAATCGAAGTTAGATGATTAATATCATTTGAAAGGTTTTCTTTAGAGAAAATAATATAATTGAAATCTATCTTATATTGGTATTTTGCTATTTAAAAATTGCTTTCATTTTTATAAAATTCTAGTAGTTATATAGAATCATGCAATATTTAGAGATGTTTTTGTGTTTTGGTAGAATGAAGTTTTATCGAAGATTATATGTTAGAAATGCTAATGTTTAACTTCGACTGTCGCTGATATAATAGAATTTTATTTGATAAAAAAATCAAACAAGTGTGTTTTTCAAACAGTTGTTTACTGCATAATCCAGCCAAAAAGTGAAAAATATATACTTGCCTTATTACAAGATATGATTTCCTACAGAAATTTACTAGTATATTTAACAATTTCAAACTATGCTAATCATCATTTTTATAATGAATCATTCGGTGAAAAAGATTTTCGGTTTAATAAAATTATTTGAATTTTATTTTTTTGTTCATGTAAGTCATTTTTGGAATTATCGAAACGTTTTCTAGATTTGTTATTTATAATGTTCGAGTAAACTCGACAGTTTTTTTTCCAAGAATCATAGTCGATTGTTGGTTTTGATGAAAAAAAGGACGACAAGAAATCTTAACGCAATGCGATTAATAAAACGATATTTGTGAAATTCTAACTAATATATTCGTACTCCATATTACATCACGATCATCTTACACATGCAATTCACGTGCAGTATTTAACAGCTTATTAGACAGTGCGTTAATTTTTCTTCTGACTACATATCTATTATTTAGTTAACGTGGCATGATATGAATACAATTATTCATAACGAATTCTATTAATAATAACAATAATACGCTTGTTGTCTGATAAACTACAACAGATATCAATACTCTTAGTAGTAAATTATTAGTTTTTTTAAAACGTTTTGTTGTCATCCTTTCGATATTCTATCAAGAAAATAATTACTTCAACTCGAGGGATGATAGAATTTGGTTAAGCAGCTCTTGACCTTATTTCGATTACACCATCAAAGCAAGATACAAATAATATTAATATAACTTATAACTTACGGCATATCAATGCAAACGATATAACTCGATGATAGCCTGTATCAGCAATAAACATATTACCAAAACGATCGATTCTCATGCCATATGGACCACTCATAGTTGCCAATATAACAGTTGTTCCATACGTTGCTCCTGGAAGCCATTTTTGCACACGGTTATTGCCATAATCTAGTACATACAGGGAACCATACTGATCCAAAGTGATACCTGTTGGACTACTCAGTTGATATGACCATGAACCAACACTACCTGTTGTTCCAGCAACCGTTACTCCAGCATTTCCACCTGTTTTAAGTAACCATCATAGGGTCAAAGTAAAAAAGAAAAAAAATAACAAAATATATGTAATTAACCTGCAGTCCATAATTGAACTCGATGGTTACTTCGATCGGCAATATAAATTGATCCATTGGCGTTGACATATATACCCCATGGATTATTTAATTTATCTGCGCTACTTCCAACACCATTTCCACCAGCCACCTATCAATTACATAGAAATAAAGAAAATTTGCGAAAGATTTTCAACTTCAACGATAAATACCAATCCTCCTACTGTTGTATTACCAGCATACCAAATAGTTACTCGATGATTTGAATTGTCTGACACATAAACATTATAGTTTTCATCGACAAATATACCAGCACAATATCCCAATTTATCATATGTTGAGCCTAAACCACGACCACCTGCAACTACATAACCTAGTGGATCCCCATCTTGCCATTTTAAAACACGAAAATTATAATCATCGACAATAAACATTGTACCATTTGATGTAACTGCAATCGCTGTTGGAGTATTCAGTTGCGCACGTGTTGAACCCGCTGTAAGTGTAAAACCAGCAACCGTTGTAGCAGTAAATGTTCCATATGGAAACTTTTGTATGCGATTATTATTAATATCAACAACATACATATTATCATATCCATCAAAAGCAATATCATATGGACCATTAAGTAATGTTGCTATACTGCCAGGGGATGATGTAGCACCAGCTGCAAGAGAAAATGATTGATTCCAAGCTGCTGTTTGACACATGGAAATGGTTGGCTGAGCTATTCATTATCAATAAATGATGAATTTATATCCGATTCTTTTTATAAGAAAAGGAAGACATGACTTACTTGGTGGTGCTGTAGTTGTTGTTGTACTAGCGACTAAAATTCAATAGAACAGTGATAAAATTTTAGTTGTATTCAAAAAATATTAATCTTTTATGAAAAATATGCATTTAATCAAAAATGATTACTCATATACTACGTTGTTATTTTCCTGTCATAATATTTTAGTTGTGTAATAATTTAAAAAAAATATCCGATCAGCACTAGTGATATAGATTTTTAACTTACGGCACATTAAACTAAATTTCACCACTCGAGCATTTGTTGTATCAGCCACAATTATATTACCAAGAGGATCCAATGCTAATCCATAAGCATTACCCAATGTTGATGATGCTGCTACAGTGCTTCCATATTGTGCTCCAGGCCACCATTTTTGTACGCGATCGTTACCATAATCCATTATATATATGTACCCATATGGATCCATTGTAATTATTGTAGGACTACTTAACTGATATAACCATGGACCAGAATCACTTGTTGACCCAGCGACCGTATCACCTTGACTTGCTCCTTAAAATACATTAATCGAAAATATCATAAACATGAATTAAAAGTAGAAATAAACTTACCAGAAAGCCATCTTTGAACTCTATGATTAGAACGATCGACAACATATAGTGTACTCGAGGCATCAATATGTATCCCCCATGGTCCATTGAATTTATCCGCAGTACTACCAGCACCGTTTCCACCAGCTACCTAAAATTTTTATGATAAACAAAATGCAGAAAAGTCATGTATAGATCTAAATTCAATGAAAATTACGAGTCGTCCAGCAGTTGTATTTCCATTTGACCAGAGTGTTATTCGATTATTACCATACTCGGATATATAAAGATTGTACTGAGAATCGAGAAATATATCATAGCTTGTTCCAATTTGAGTAAATAATGCTCCTACACCACGGCCTCCGGCTATAACATAGCCAAGTTGATCTCCAACTTGCCAACGAAGTACTCTATAGTTATCTCTATCCAAGATAAACATGGTTTGATTGTCTGTGACACGAATAGCTACTGGGTTATAGAGCTCTGCCAGTGATGAACCAGCTGAAAGTGAAAATCCAGCTACTGTTGTCCCAACAAAGGAACCACCTTGATATTGTTGTACTCTATGATTGCTAGTATCAACAACATACATATTATGATATCCATCGAAAGCTACGTAATAGGGATTAGAAAGTAACGTTGCTGTGGATCCAGCATTTGATGTTGCACCAGCTACTAGCGAAACTGATTGATTCCATGCAGCTGTTGCACATAATGGAGTTGTTGTTGAAACTGTCAAGTAAAGAGTAAAGATAGATTTATAATTATCAAAGCAAAAAAAAATTATTTACATGGTGGTGCCATAGTTGTTGTTGTTGAAGCCGCTAGAAATTCAAAAGAAAGTAAGTAAAATTTATAGGATAAATAAATATACATCATCATGAACTATACGATTACTTACGACATACGACAGCAAAAGATAAGACTCGATGATTGTATGCATCCGCAACAACAATATTCCCAAGACGATCAATTTTCATTCCAGTCGGATTATAAAATGGTGCTGTGATAATAGTCATGCCATAACTAGCTCCTGGAACCCATTTTTGCACACGTTTATTGTTATAATCCAATACGTACATATAACCATATTGATCGAATGTGATTGCTGTTGGACTACTAAATTGATATGACCATGGACCTGGATCACTTGTTGATCCAGCAACTGTAACACCGCTAGCAGCATCTGTAAACATTTGTTATAAATTTATACGAGAAAATTATCAAGCACATGTTACTTACTTAGGTCCCATCTTTGTACTCTGTGATTAGCTCGATCGACAACAAAAATTGATCGATTGACATTAACATAAACACCCCATGGAGAATTAAGTTTGTCTGCTGTACTGCCAAGACCATTGCCACCAGCAACCTTAAATTAAACAAAACAAAAGAACAACAAAATAAATTAGTAGATTCAATTTTATTAAAAAACTACCAATTGTCCTGCAGTTGTATTACCAACAGTCCAAAACATTACACGATGATTTGCTTCTTCAGATAAATATATATTATTTTGTTCATCAGCAAATATTCCATAGCTATATCCCATTTGAGTATATGCTGAACCTTGACCATGACCACCAGCAACTATATAGCCTAACATATCTCCAACTTGCCATCTTAAAACACGAAAATTCCAATTGTCTAAAATAAACATCGTTCCATTTGGCGTGATAGCAATGGCTGATGGATAATAAAGTTCAGCACGTGTTCCACCAGATCCAAGTGAGAAACCAGCAACAGTTACACCAATATTTGAGCCTATACATTGAAATTTAGTCATATTTCTTTTTTTTAATCTTATTTCTACCTGAAGCAAATCTTTGTACACGATGATTATTTTTATCAACGACATACAAGTTTTGATATGCATCAAAAGTAACATCAAATGGATAAGCCAATAAAGTCGCTGTACTTCCTGATGTAGACATGGCTCCAGCTAAATTATAAGATGTTTGATTCCACATAGCTGTTGCACATAGTGGTATAATGGGTTGAGCTATTCAGAAATAAAACGAAACAAACAAGAATCGTATTTTTAAATCTAATGAAAACTTATAAATAATTTACTTGGTGGTGCTGTAGTTGTTGTTGTCGCAGGCGCTAAAATTTATGAAACATATATTGATCGTGTACTATTTATGCAATAACGATGTATATCTCTTCTTAATCTCTTTTAGAACTTCAAAAAATAGATTTTTTTTAAAGTGAAAAGTACATATACAATTAACAACATTTCAATAACTTTCATTCAACGAAGTTTTATTTATTTTTTTTTTTTTGAAGATTTTCTTCTAGAAAGATTTCTTGAGCGATCTATGGATTAAACCATAGATTTTATAATCTGTCCTTTTACTTACGACATGTTAGTCCAAATGATATAATTCGATGAAAATTTGTATCAGTCACAACTATGTTACTTTGACGATCAAATCGCATTCCATATGGACTGTTCAAACTTGTTTTGACCACAGTAACTCCAAAACTTGCTCCCGGAAACCATTTTTGCACACGATCATTGTTGTAATCCAATACGTACAAATAACCATATTGATCAATTGTGATGGCTGTTGGACTACTAAATTGATATGACCATGGGCCAGAATCACTCGTTGATCCGGCAACAGTAACACCAACAGCAGCACCTGTAAACAGTTATCATAACATCAATTGATCAAATGACTACGGATATACGTTACTTACCCACATCCCATCTTTGTACTCTGTGGTTACCTCGGTCGACAACAAAAATTCTTCCGTTGACATCCACATAAATGCCCCATGGAGAATTAAGTTTATCTGCTGTATTGCCAAGACCATTGCCACCCGCTACCTACAGAAAATTAAATAAAAATGTAAATATATTATATTTTTAATCATTACTAATTGTCCACCACTTGTATTAGTGACTCGCCATATTGTTACTCGATGATTACTATTTTCAGATACGTAGGTATTATATTGATTGTCGATGAATAAAGCATAACTTGTTCCAATGCAACTGAATGATGCACTTAAACTTTGACAACCAGCAACTACAGTTCCAAATGGATCACCAACTTGCCATTTTAAAACTCGATAGTTATTTGTATCTAATATAAACATTGTTTGATTTGGAGTAACATATATTCCACATGGAGAAGAGAGTTCTGCTAGTCTGTTACCAGCAGTTCCTGTCACACCAGCTACTGTTGTTCCAACATTTGATCCTAAATATAAAGTGCAACGATGCTTTCAATATTTATGTAAAAACTTTCGTATGAACCTAATGGAAAACGTTGAATTCGATGATTACTAGTGTCAACAACATACATATTCTGATATCCATCAAAATCTATATCATATGGACTATTGAGTAGAGTTGCTGTAATTCCTGACGTTGAAATTGATCCAGCCAAAGTACTATATGCTTGATTCCAAACTGCTGTAGCACATACTGGAGTTGTTCCTTGTGCTATTTAATAACAATCTAGAGTTAGTTTATGACAATTATCAAAAAGAAACTTACTTGGTGGTGCAGTTGTTGTTGTAGATGGTGATGCTTTAAAATAGAAAAATATAATATTATTGAACTGATTCTAAACTATATTTTGATAGATAATGCTAACACATTCACAATGTAATATTCCAATCTATTGCTTTCTTTTTTAGCTTTTAGACAGAAAAATGATTACGAGAACACAAACTATGTTTATTCTTATGAAGTTCTACTTATGTTCAAACCATAATAATGAGCAATGTAGAAACAATCAGAATAGCTCTTATTATTACTTACGACATGACATAGGAAATGATATAACATAATGGTTCGATGTATCAGCTATAACTAGATTCCCACTTGGACCAACTTTCATTGAAGATGGAGAATTCATTGATGGTGCTATGACTGTGATTCCATAAGTAGCTCCTGGAAGCCATTGTTGAACACGTGAATTTCCTGCATCCAGAATGTACATATAACCAAATGGATCAAATGCGATTCCAGTAGGATTATTAAATTGATAAGCATAAGGACCAGAAATGCCACTTGAACCAGCAATAGTAACACCGCTCAATGCTCCTGAAAAACATTTATTTATTTTCATAGAATGAAATTATACATGCGTATATGTTTCACATTACCTGAAATCCAGCGTTGCACTCGATGATTGCCTTTATCAACTACGTAAATTGTACTGTTCACATCGACATAAATTCCCCAAGGATAATTTAACTTTGGTGGTGTACTACCAGCACCATTTCCACCAGCCACCTACAACATGACTAAAGAATAGAAGATTAGGAAATCATTAAAGAACTATACCAGTACTCCAGCAGTTGTATTAGTTGCTAACCACAAAGTGACACGATGATTACCATATTCAGATACATAAATATTATATTGATCATCAACAAACATGGCATAACTTGTTGTAATTTGAGTTAATGCTGAACCTGACAGTTGATTACCAGCAACAACATACCCTAATGGATCTCCAAATGCCCATCTCAAAACTCGATAGTTTGTTGTATCTAAGATATACATGACTCTGTTTGCATCGACATAAATAGCGGATGGACTGTTAAGTTGTGAATATCCACTACCAGAAGAACCTGACACACCAGCTACTGTTGTTCCAATATTTGATTCTAAACAAAACGAGGAAAAAAAAACTTCCAATAATGATTGTACAAAAACAAGTTGATTACCTGAATGAAATAGTTGAATTCTATGATTTGTAGTATCGACAACGTATAGATTAAGATATCGATCAAAAGCAATATCAGATGGATTATTAAGTAGTGTTGTTGATGAACCCGCAGTTGATAATAATCCAGCTAATGTTGAATAACCTTGATTCCAAACAGCTGTAGCACATATTTGAGCTGTTGTTGAAGCTATTTAATGAAAATTGAAGTTTATATTCTATGATAGGAATAGTGTATGACTCACTAGGTGGTAGAGGAGTTGTTGTCGTGGTAGATGCTGAAATTGAATGAAATATAATATTTATAGATAGTTTGAAAATAAATATGTATATTGTAAGCTTAAAATATTATATTTTTCATCGTTAGAAAAAAGTTGAATTTACATTAAGACACCAAACAATAACTTACTGCATAGAAGACTAAAAGAAACAATTCTATGGTTATTTGTATCAGCCACAACCAAACTATTAACAAGATCAAGTTGCATTCCCATTGGCGTAGCAAATGATGCTGAAAAAACTGTTGTTCCATATAATGCACTAGGCCACCATTTTTGAATTCGTGCATTACCAGAATCTAAGACATATATATATCCAGTAGGATCAAGCATGACTGCTGTAGGACTATTGAATTGATAAGACCAAGGACCTGAACTACCAGTTGTACCAGCAACAGTAACACCACTAAGTACTCCTATAGAAATATTCGTTAGAATAATCAAATTTTGTGATTAGAATTGATCTATTACTTACCATTATCCCAACGTTGTACTCGATGATTATTTCGATCAACTACATATACTGCTTGATTGACATCAATGTATATTCCACATGGATTGTTTAATTTGTCAAGTGTACTACCAACACCGTTTCCACCAGCGACCTACAATACAAAAATAAAAGAACATCAGTATTTATATGATGAACCAATAAATACCACAATGCCGGCAGTTCTATTAGTTGCCAACCACAAAGTAACACGATTATTACCGCTGTCTGACACATAAATATTATATTGATTATCAACAAACATTCCATAACTCGTTGAAATTTGAGTTAATGCTGAACCTGCCGTTTGAGTACCAACAACAACATAACCTATTGGATCTCCAATTGTCCATTTCAAAACTCGATAGTTTGATGTATCTAAGATATACATGACTCTGTTTGCATCAACATAAATAGCGGATGGACTGTTAAGTTGTGAATATCCATTACCAGATGAACCAGAAGTACCAGCAACAGTTGTGCCAGTTAACGACCCTTAACAAGAAAAGTTTCGTAATCATCATCATCATTATCATAGTAATAACTTTAAAAATCTGATTAATACCTGGTGCGAATAATTGAATTCTGTGATTAGTAGTATCGACAACGTACATATTTTGATATCCATCGAAATCCATATTATATGGACTATTTAGTTTAGTAGGTGTTGATCCTGAAGTTCCTGGCAAGCCAGCTCGAAGAGTAGCTGTTGAATTCCAAGTCGCTGTTGCGCATAATTGAGTAGTTGATGTGGCTTTTCACGTGAGACGAAATATAAATTAAATATATGGTTTATTATGAATGATGCACAACTTACTTGGTGGTGCGGTTGTTGTTGTAGTTGAAGCCGCTAAAATTAAAAGAAAAAATTATATATAAACTTATAACTTTTTATAGTACGACTTAAATGCAGAAAATATTAGAACGCTGGTAAGTATTAAATTAAAGATTCATCTTCTTTTTCTTTTTTAGAAAAATAGTTATCTTAAAAGACTCTCATCTCGATTGAAAATCAGTTTATGTATTAGATCTTTTCCAATCTAATATTCAAAGCAAAACATCTGTATAACTATCTATCGTTTGAAGATATATATATACGTATATGAATACTTACGGCATGAAATAGCAAAAGAGAGGATTCTATGGTTGGATGTATCAGTGATAACAATATTACCACTGCTATCAAATTGTATTCCATATGGATTAGACATTGATACCGATATAACTGTTTTTCCATAGGAAGCTCCAGGCCACCATTGTTGAACTCGGCTATTACCAGCATCCACAACATACATGTAGCCATATGGATCGAAAGTAATTGCAGTTGGATTAGTAAATTGATAAGACCATGAACCTGAATTACCAGTTATACCAGCGACGGTAACACCTGACATCGCCCCTATATTAATATTCATAGATTAAACTGAATTGATTAACTGTTACATATATTTTACTTACCAGATGCCCAGAATTGAACTCTATGATTTGAATGATCAACAACATATACACCCTGATTGCTGTCAACATAGACTCCCCATGGATAATTTAATTTATCTGCAGTGCTACCAAGACCATTTCCACCAGCGACCTAGAATAAAACAAAAAAGCATATAAGTTTTTATAATCATGAAAGAATAATACCAATATTCCAGAAGTGGTATTAGTTCCAAGCCATTTGACAACTCGATGATTTTGATAATCGGCAATATAAATATTATTTTGATTATCAACAAACATGCCGTAGCAATTGTATATTTGAGTCAATGCTCCACCACATCCATTACCACCAGCAACAACATAGCCAAGTGGATCTCCTACTTGCCATTTCATGATTCTACAATTATTCCAGTCTGCTATGTACATTGTACCGCTTGGATTAACATGAACTGCCGTTGGCCAGTAAAGCTGGGAATAACTACCACCATTGTTACCTGTTATACCAGCTACTGTTGTACCAGTTGTTGAGCCTAAATATGAAAGATACTGATATTTTTATTTTTTAAAACTCTTAATCTAGTCTATACCGTTTAGAAATTGTTGAATTCTGTGGTTATTACAATCAGCAACGTACAAATTTCCATAGGTATCGATATGAATATTATGAGGAGAGTAAAGTGTTGTTGGTGTTGATCCTGAATTTCCTGATGATCCAGCTATGACTGAATATGTTTGATTCCACACAGCTGTTGGACATACTGGAGTAACTGGTAGCGCTATTAAGAATAAGAAGAAAAATAAGTATTCGATTGTATAATGTATTGATAGATTTAAGTTAAATGTGTTCGTATATAGCAAAATGTATAACATGTCATTTTTACTACATCAGAGATTGAGAATTTATGTAGCGATGTCATGTATGTGATTATGAAAATTTAATAATAAAAGACTGATGCAAAGTTTTCATTTACTACATATTTATTAAGTTTATCTTTCTTAATTTGTAAGTACAGATCAAAATGAAAGACTTACGTGTTGGTGCTACAGTTGCTGTTGCGTTTGGTACTGCAATTAAATAAATGAGAACATAAGATTAGAAAGAAATATTTATAGATTTCGATTTTATACATATGACACAATTATCGATTATATTCATTAATACTTCATAATATTTTACATTTTTTTTATTCTTATTTTTTCTTCTCAAAACCAGCTATATGGACCTTTCGTTTAGTTGACTTATACTTACATACAGCATGCTATTCATATTGTACTTATAATATTAGTAGAACCTTATGAAGAACAATATTAGAAGATCATGTTTTCATTATTTGAAATTTTTTTTTTTTTGAGTACAATAATATTATACGTATAATGTAATTTAAAATAAGAGTTAAATGTATGAATGACATTCCCGACTTCTTATATCATTTTTCTGTGGATATTGACGAAAAAAAAAACCTTTGTAATACTGCTTAAATAGCAAAGGTCCAATATTGAAAGTCACATTTTGTTATCATAATATTTCCTAATAAAAACTTTATCAAATTCATTCACAAAATAAAAATTCAAAAATTTCAACTTCATGAGTTTCCTAATTATGAAACAATAATGTGGAAAATATTAATATCAATATCTTAGTTTTCTCTCGTATATCTACATATTCGTAGTTACTCAAATATTTTGATATAAATATAGCTTAAATCAATACTTACGACAAAGTATGGCAAATGAAATGACTCGATGTGAAGAATGATCAGCCACAACGATATTACCATAAGGATCAAAACGTATTGCTCGCGCATTGTTCATACTACTTGCCGACACAACAGCTACTCCATACATAGCTCCTGGAAACCATTTTTGAATTCTGTCATTATTAGCATCCATTATATACAGATAACCATATTGATCCATCGTAAGATGTGATGGATAATTCAATTGATATGACCAGCCACCAGCAACCCCAGACTGACCCGCAACAGAAGTACCAACAGCTGCACCTAAAAGTACCTCAGTTAATCGAAAAATATTCAATAACATGAAACCAAAAATACGAACCGGGAAGCCATCTTTGAACCCGATTATTGCTGGCATCCGCAATATATAATTTACCAGTGCTGTCAACGTATATCCCATACGGATTCTTAAGTTGAAATGCTGCACTACCAGCTCCATTTCCACCAGCCACCTAACATAAAGATGTAGATACAAAATAAATAGTAAGTCAAAAAAAACACATACCACTTGACTAGTATTTGGATTGCCAGCAGTCCAAAGAGTGACTCGATGATTCGTATATTCTGATACATATATATTGGAATTAGCATCGACGTGCATTGAGTGACTTGTCGCTATTTGAGAAAGTGCCGCACCAGAACCACGACCACCAGCCACTACTGTAACAACATTGTTAATCCATTGAACGACTCTAAAATTGCTGGTATCCAAAACGTATAAGACGCCACTACTGGTAACATGAATACTACTCGGATTAGAAAGAGATAAATTGGGAACTGTTGTTGCTGTTGCTGATCCTCCAGCAAACTTTTGAACTCGATTGTTATAGTAATCGGCAACATAAAATGTGTCATTTCCAGTGTAGAATATATCAAGAGGGCCATTCAATAAGGTTGATGAACTTCCTACTAATCCCCCTATACCTGCAATCTCTGTAAAAGTGTTGTTCCAAACGGCTGTTGGACATACGACCGTATATTGTGCTACAATAAAAAACCATATAGTTGCATTATACATCTTAAATTTTTCATTAGAATTCGCTGGGTCTAATGATTTTCATCTTCATCTCAAAGATCACACTTTGCTACTAAGATTACATGTTATTGCAAAAAGAATGTGTATATCGCATAATAAACTATTCTTTCTTTTACTCTTTTCTTTCCAAATAATGCAAAGAAAAGTCTCATACTATTCGGATGTGGGTGTGAGTAGAACTTAATATAGAAAGCAAGTATACAGGATGCAAGTGGTTCTGGGAAGCAAGTTCACGAGGAGTAACTCCCGTAGGAGCATCTGTCATAGATTCGTTATAATCTAAATCATATCATACTGATGTGTCTTAATATCAACGAGCTTTATTTTAGTATATAACTAATTGTGTATGTCTTCCAAAGGTAGAGTTAAAAACATTTTTATCCTGAATTGATAATCATGTGCAAAAGAATGCAAAAAATTGACTCTGAGAGAAAACTATAAATCTGGAAAGTGTAGTCTTCAAGAGGTACAATCATTACATTTTTTTTTCGTTATCCAATATATGGGCTCGAAAACTTTATCGAAACTACTACTATATTAAAGAAAAAGAAAGAATGACATTCGCTTCTAAAGATCTTCTAGACGACGTTTCTATTCACAGTGATCAGTTTGCATCATAGTCATCAGAATAATGAATTTGCTGGTCAAGATAACGCCTTACATTTGAAGGACATACTAGGAATGTTGAATAAATTATACGACAATAAAAGGCAATACTTTCGGCATAAAATAGTATTCGTTATGACCAAGTTTTCGACTCCATATACTACACGACAAAAAAAAGTTATTTTTTTCACAAAGAAAAAAACAGTATTTCAGGGATCGATTATCAATGAAAAACATGTTCGATGATTTTTTTTCTCTTGAGAATTACACTCTCCAGACTTAAAGTCTTCTTCTTGGAACCGATTTATTATATGTATTTGCACACGATTAACAGTTTAGGATATAAATGTTTTCAGTGTTCTACTCGTGTCATTTCGGATGATGAAATTCATGAACTCTTTTGCAATCTCTAGTCGAATAAATTAACATATGAAAGATACTGTTTTCGATGACCATATTTGTTTCAGGGTATTTATGCTACGACTCATGTTGGATCTGAATATATCAGAATAATGGTGCAAAAATTCTATTCAATTCGAGTCGCAACCCTACCAAATATAGGATGGCGCTGAGAAATCATTAATAGCTCAACGCTTGGAAGTATCCGTCCGATAACACACTGAATACATTGTGATATATATATATTGGCTTTTGTGGCTAATATTTAGCGAGTCAATATGTGAAAGTTGCTTAAGTGATTAAATGGAAGAAATGTGAGGGATATCGGACTTTTGATAAGAACTATAGCTCACTTAATTGCAGAAAAAATATTGAGATTTTGAAAGTGTGTCTGTATAGTGGTCTATAATGCTAGATACCCAAAAGGCAAGATAAAAGCCAACAATAAATAGGTAAAAAAGCGCCATATTAACTGTGGTTAAGTGTATTGTAAGCTAGAAAGGTTGAACTCTTTTTTTGTATGCTAAAAACTTGCATTTTCTGGTACAGTTTTGAGTAAAAAACAATACAATAACCGATGAACAAAAACTTCTCTAACCCAATCGTGGTAAGCTTGGATTGTACGTGAGACAAGTAAAATTTAAGATTTAGCAGTTGAGCTCCTTCATGATGAAGCATATTTTTTTGATTGCTGAAATTGGTTGTTATGGCTCATTCATCTGTGGCTCTACAAATGAGCTTTGAAGTGTCTCACATGAAATTCTTAACCGTCTTATGTTTGCTATTTTTTAGAAATTAAGATTTGCTAATCAATGATGACAGTTACCGTAGCAGAAGTTATAATTCTCCTATGAATCTCTCTCTCTCTCTCTCACGTACTTCAAAGTTCCGTGAGAAGTGGAAAAATTTGATCGACTTGTGCCTAATAGATAATGAGGTACATCACAAAGAATATTAAGTGCTATTTCATAAAGGTTTAGTACTTCAAATGATCAAATTTGTTTAATTCTAATGTTTGTCAGTACAGCAAATGCAAAAACTAATAATAATTAAAGGACTTTGTTATAGATAGATGAAGACAACTGTGAAAGTTTTTCTTATATAACAAATCGATAAAGTTTGCTGTAAAGTATTGTTTGCCAAATGTCGAAGTAGTGCACACTAATGTATTGCAAGTGAAATAAATAAAATCTTTTTAATTATTCTTAGTCTTTTTTCAAGTATATTCATAGAGGAAAAACTAGTAAAATATTTGTATACGTACTATATATTGATTGGGGAAGAATTCTATATTTGAAATAAAATCGAAAAAATGATAATATCGAAAAGAAATTTGTTCGTAATAGACTTACAAGATACAGACTACGGCCAAGTACAGTCGATGCCATAGTTCGATATGCATCTCTAAAAAATTTGAAAATTTAATTTACAAAAAAAAACAAAAAATTTTAATTAATCTAAATCATATAATTTTATCATATGATAGAATAGATGAAAAAATTGATATATGATAAAAGTAATCTTCTACCCGATTGATACTATTGTTCGACCGTAGTTAATAAAAATATTTTCGAAATGAAAATGCAAAATTCATGTGAAAATGAAATACTAACGGCTTGTTTTCAATGTCTCGTGTTTTTTTTTAAGTGAATTTTACTAATGGAAGAGTAACAAAACAAATTGCACTTATAATTGATAAAAACAAGAAAAAAAGCCTTTCACCATACAAAAAGCATATACCATTAGCATAGAAAAAAAAATGAAATACAATCAAAACAATACTCCTATCATGCTTTGCATACATAGTCTGTTTTATTAATTTTTACCCTCTTTCTTCACCATTACTTATCAAACAAAGAAAAATGATTGAAACCATTAGAAAGTTCACAAAACAAGTTCGACAGTTTTTTTTTCGCATTGATCCTCAAGATAAAATTCGTCAATCAATCAACAATTTATCACTCGTCTAGAAAATAATTATTTTTATTTTTTTAAATAAAGTGAAAAATAGATAGAAATATACTTTTGAATTTTTAACACTGAAAATGATCTAACTAAATCAAATTATTTTTCTTTTCAAATAATTATTCCTATAAAATTTAAATGATGTTCAAATTGAGAACAATTTATTTGATTATTTACTGCAATCTTTCACTATAAGTTTTGCTCTATTGATGATAGAAACATAGCAATGCGAGTTTATTTATCATACTATCTTTTAAATTGATGACACAAACTTGAATTGGTTAGCAACTAAAAAAACTTAAAAAAACCATTTTATATAGTAATCACTAACATAGAATTAGATATGAAAATTAGAAAGGTTCTCAATCATTGATGTCTATCCTTTAAAATCTTATTCCCAAAGCATTTCTTCAAAAGACAATGTAATTAGCCAATAAAATCAGGCACATCGTAATGCTACTTCCGAATTGCTAGAAAATGTTCAAACTATATTATGCATACTGAAACGAGAATAGAATATATGTTGTATCCATACCCACTTCACTCACATTCGCACCATAGAGTCAAGCAAAACGCATGCACCTACTTCGATATTATTTTATTTACAAAATCCAGAATCAATGTTCATTTCTTACTTAAATCCGAAGTAGCATGACTTTAATTTTATGACAGTTTACTATTATATCTGTGTTCCTACTGTCAAGTGATACCTCGATATATAGCAATAATGCTGCACAGATGTGAACTTATAAATAACAGAAATTAGTTAAATAAAAGTCTTAGTTAAAATTCAAACAGATTTTTATGGAACGATTTGTGTCGGACAATCATAGAAAATATGTTGTTATAATCTATGCTAACCGCATAAGTTTGTAATTTCTTATGATCTATAACTTCCTTTTTCTTTTTATTGTTTAGATCTATTCGTGTTTGCTGTATGAAAACGGCAATTTTATTAGTAGTATGTGTATATGAATAGTTATATTTATTTTAAAAAGAAAAAGAAATCAAGTGTAGTTATTTTTATGAGATGATATCTTTGATCTCAGAATCAGATGAGAAATAATATGATAACTGATTGAATCAAGTTTAATACATTCTATATTTGTACTCTTGCTTTTAATGCCTATCATTATTTATTTTGAGTATCTTTGTTTTTTTTGAAGAATCTTTAAGATGTCATTCTTAAATCAAGCATATCATTCATTTCGTGAAAAAAAGTTTTACAATCGAAACAAGAATAAAAATTTTCTCAACGTCGTATCATTCTTTGTTTGCTAATGATTTATCAACACTTACCAATGATCAGAAGTCAAGGAAATTGATAAATAATGAGTAAACAATGAATAGACTAATTTTTTTTTTATCAAACTTCTGTCTCTTTTTGGATAATGAATTGAGGAAGACCTGTATGTTTCATGTTTTTTCTATATCATTTATTGAAACGAAACCATCCTTTTCTTTTTAGGAGTGCCAAAACGTGATAGAAATTTAGTGTTTGATACGAACAATGAATTTTTGACATTTTTTTTTTCATATAAATACTTTTCTATTTATAAATTGTCGCCAATATGAATAGACAAACGGATACCAAATGTTCTTGTTCTCAATTTAACAAAATTGTTCTGTAGAAGCCCATATGAAAATTTAGAATTTAGTCTTCAAAACTAACTCGATACAATCAACATGTATACGAGATACTATCGTGATTGTTTTTTATGGAAAAAATATTTTATTCTAACAGAAGACAGAGAAATTTTTCGATTTCATGTCGAAGAAAAAATGCAAACTCCTTTTTTTTCATTTTGATTGAATCCGTTCTCTTGATACATAAAATTTAGATCCCAATATCTTCATGCATATCTATAACCTTGAAGAGATTTTAATACATCTTTATTTTCTGTAAAATAGTTCTTTTTATGCGTTGTTAATGTACACAAAAGAACGAAAATGTTATTTGAAAAAAATGAATCTGTTGACTAGCCATTAGTGAATTGTCAGACAGAGAACAATCGATGTCTGCTCGTAGCCGAACTCGTAAGTGGGTGAGTTATGCATCACAAATTGCGTTACTTTGTTTTTTTCTTTAACAATAGATCGAAAAATAATTTTTTTTTTTTTTTTTTCTAAAAGTTAGAATAATTTTGTTTACTTCGACATTAATTAAAGAAAAAATATAACTATGATATATAATTTAATTTTTCTTTTGAATATTTTATTATAGAGTGTTGATAAACAAACAAAACAATCATATATGGGTAGAATGTTATATATTCAATTATTTCGACCTCGACGAATTTTATATGTATTTTGTTTAATAATATTTTTAATTGCTGTAAATCATTTTTATGCTAATTCTTTAACAAATTTATCAGAAAACGTTGAATCGCATTCTTATGTACGAAATGCTAAAGCAAGACAAATAATTGAAAAGGTCGTTGAAATCAAAGATCGTCAACCATTCTATAAATTATTTATATATGAAGGATATGAAGTTGATTTAGATCGTAAACGAGCACAAGCTAAACTACTTGATAATATAAAACTTTATGATAAATGTCAACGAAATTCCAAAACAATCATTGTTGATGTTGGTGCTTCTTTGGGTATTATACATTAAATTTTGAATATAATTCTTAAAATTTTCGATATTTTTATTTATATAGGACATTTTGGTTTATATGCTGCTGCATGTGGATGTCAAGTTTATATGTTTGAAGTTGATCCAATTAAAATTTCATTACTACAAAAATCAATTAGATTAAATTCATTTCAATCACGTGTTACTTTAATTTCGAAAGCTGTCAGTGATTTACCACCAAAAACTAAAATTTATATGAGTTACAATAGTAGTAGTCAAGTATCTGATAAAGAAGCTCATGATCGTTCAGATGTATATACTGTAGAAACAACAAATTTTCATGAATTTAATTTTTCTACAGATATTTATTTATTTCGTGTTGATGTTGAAGGTTATGAAATACATGTATTTCGTGCAAGTGAAAAATTATTTCGTAAAAATCTAGTACATCATGTTTTATTTCAATATACACCATCAGGAACAGATCGAGTTTTACAAAATGATCTTCTTTCTTATATGAGAGATATTCTTGGTGGACGAAGATTTTATGCATTACATCCAAAACAAGCTATTTTATATGGTCCGATATATAATGAAGATATTGATCAATTTTATACTCAACATCATTCATTAGATTTAGAAAGAGATGTTTATGTATTATTTCAAGATGAAGAATTAACTATTGATTCTAAACCTTATGAATTTCAATCATCTTTTGATTAGATTTTAATATATTTTGAACTTGTTTTTTGTTTTTCGACTTTTTTGGACAACTAGTATTTTATTCAAATTTTTTTTTTCTGTATTACTCTAGAACTTATTTCATGCAAAATGACATTAATATTAGTCTCGTTCTTAAATAATTAACTTGAAAATTAAGTATCTTGCTCATACCTAGGCTTTTAAAAACAAACAATAATTCTTAGAACAAGAAAAAAAGTTTAATTCAACTAGACGAATTAAAAATTGTCACTTGTAATGATTGATTCAGACACGGTTTTCTTTATTTGTTCCCTTAGTAAACCTTTTTCATGCAACTTTTAACAATTTTGTTAAGAAGTTTTTGCAAATATGACAAAAAATATGAGTTTGCAAATAGAAGCCTACAGACGATTATTTACCTCAAGAGAACATAGTGAATTGCGTCAGATTTCGAATCCTTTGAGTAGGTCCATAAATAATTCTGTGCTTTTCGTATCATAATCTAGTTCTTATCCAATTGAACGTCTAGTGTTCTATAAGATTAGAACTTCTATCGTAATCGAAACTTTCTACGACAACAATGGTTCTAAGACTCTATGGATTTCTGTTTGGTTTTACAGAGCTTCGGATGATTCTAGGTCTAGAGAGTCTATGAATTCTTAGACTTCTGAATGAACAATTTTTGCTTTTTTTACTTAGTATTCATAGATAGTGATATCATACAATGATGCAATAACACTAAAAACATATGGAATACAAAGAACACTCTATGACCGAAGAAAATGAGAAAATTGTAAAAGTTATAAACTGCATGACAGCTCAGTTCGTATATAAACAGTGTGGTAGTACAAATTCGATCGAAGTTCTTAAAAAACTTTCTTTTTTTTCTTTGCTTCTTTTTAACAATAAATATCAATGAATCAATACTTAGTTCTTTACTAACTATCTGTATATAATCGACAAGAAGAAACTATGATGACATCTGGTTAGAGTTTAAAATAAATTTTATTCAAGTTTTTGCTCGAACAAGTATTTGAGCTAATTATCATACTTAATAACGCTCAGTCAGTTTGTTTGAACACATCTGTCGAAGCTTTTTTTCAACTAAACTGTAATTAAAACTTCAAAATCTTGATCATATCACTCCGTGTAGTGATTAGAGACCATTTGATTGATAAAGTTTATCGATTAGATCAAGCACTTGGAAAATATTTAGTGCTCTATCTGTACAATAAAATGAATATAAAATAAGTATGATACGTTTTGATGCATACTAATAAAAGCATTTTTATGAATATATACCTGAACGTTATGATAATGATTTTCGATGTCTGAAGTGCTAGCTGATGATCTTTGTCTTCTAATTCTATTATTAAGTAGTTTTACAGATTTATTGATATAATATTCGCCATTAGAAGCCTTCATTCTTTCCATATGTGTCAGTTTTAAAAGCATACTTGACTAGTTCTTTTTATAAAAGATATTGAACAGTTTGAATCGATTTTAGTGTGATGTTTTCAGAATTGGTCATCCATTATCGTCGCTTCATGTATTCACTGTGTTTTCTTTGGTCAACCATGTTCAATAAAACTTGATTAGTCGAAATAGTTGCTTATTGCTGTATTGAATTCTGTAATCGACATAATGAATTTTTCAATCAAAGACTATTTTAGAAATAATTTCAACAAATTTCTTCAAACTATTTTATTATGCAGAATTAAGCATAATTACTAATTCAAATACTTAATAGATTAAAAACGTGATTAACTATTTCTTGTGAGCTTTTATTTACTAAAAACACTACTTTTAGTATGACATAAGTTATTTATGACAAGTGTTTATTTATAGATTTTTCACTTGATTTCATCTTAGATAAATTCATTAATAAAAATCAATTATTACTCTTGGATGCTCCGGACTAAATAATAAAATTATTTTGTTTACGAATATGTAGATTTACTCTTTGAAAAATTTATTTCATGATCTAAAATGAATTATTAATTAAATAATTTAGAAACTTATCTTTTTCTATGCAGTAAACTCCCTGTTATTGTGTAAAAGATTAATAACTTTATCTGTAATAGTCTAAAATTTTGTCGTCAAACTACTGAGTCAAGAAGGACTTATGAGAGAATGTGTCCAATTGATAATTTCCGTTTAAACTCATATTTTGCTCATAGTACAGATTAAAATCATGAAAAGATTCTTTCCATTAAGTTTTTCTTCTCGAATTACAGTCATCCTACTGAATTTTCACTTGATTACAGGATATCACTAGAGAAATCGCAAGAAAGAATTTCAATTGAAAAAGATAATTTCTTCTTAGGATATCGTATAGATAAAAACCGATCTATTTTTAGATCTCTCATGAACAACTAATGTTTTTTCAAAAATGTGTTGTCTCAGAAGGAAAACATCAGTTTGAAAAATGCCATGAGAGTTATTGTTATGGAGAATTTCAAGTCAAAATTCTTTATTGAGATATTTCTCGTGATATTTTGCAATGAGCTGAAAGTTCAGTAAAATAATCATAACTTGAGAAGAAAGGTCAGATGGCACGAACCCATTTAGAATTCTTATCTGTACTATGACTCATCGCTACGAGTAAAATATGCCCTAAAACGAAGATTATCAGTTGAATGGATTCTTTCATCAGTAAGAGATAACAATAAAAGTCGATAAGACAAGTACGACGATGAAATTTAGATGACAACTTTCTTTTTTGCTTTATTTGTACTCTATAGTTTATATATGATACAATTCATTATGAACGATGTTAAATAAAATTGTCATTCATTTTTCATACACAAAAATTGACAATTACGGTTAATATACAAAAAGAAAATCAAGAAATCATAATTTGACAAACAAAAAACCAAAAAAATGAACATTCTCAAAAAGAATTACAGGAGATAAATTGCGTCTGATTATAATGAGGCATTGCACACTACTATTATTAGGTAGTTGATCTAAGAAGAAAAAAAGAAAAAAACAAAGTCTATTTATTTAGTTGTTGATAAAGTCCGTTGTGATTGTTTATCAGATGTTAAATTTGAAGTAGTTGAAGTCTGTTTTTTGTCTGTTGACGTAACAACATTATTGGGTTTTTCAGTTAATGGTGTTCGTTTCGTTGTTTTCTTATTTTGACCATCACCTCCACCTCCATTTTTATTAGTTTCATTAGATGAAGCTGCAATAGTTGATCCTATTGATTCATCGAGAGATTTCATTAATTTACTATTATTTGATCCTTTTAATTTTTTAATATGCCAAACATGCATATGTCGATCGAGACTACCACTAGCAAGAAGAAATTCCATTGAATTTGCACATGGAACAAGAGCTGTACATTGAACAGCACGTGTATGTGCTCGTCGTTGAACATGAAGTTTTTCTCCATTTATTGCTGAATAAAGACGAATATCACGATTATCAAGTGGTACAGCAAGAATATCATGTGATAATGATATACGATTACATGGTGAAACACATTCGAGTGAAATAAGTGGTGAACAACTAGCTGAACGAGAATCCCATATATGAACAAAACCATCATCTGACGATGATACAAGACGATCATTGCCAAGAAACAATGCGGAATTAACAGTTTTTGTATGACCATTAAATATTTGTACAGAATGACTTGGAGTTCGACAATCCCATAAACGAAATGTTCCATCACCTTAAGAAAAAAAAAAGAACAATTTTATTTAAAAACAGCAAAAAAAAGAGACGCTCGGAATTTTAAAATTATTGTGTATTTTTGTAGTTTAAACACTCTTCTATCTATTAACATAATAAGCTTTGATTGATTAGAGATTTATGTACTATAACAACAATTTTTGCATATCTATTTATATTAACTGATATAAAATCAAAAACTTGGATATCATTTAGTAATCGCATATTTATGAGTGTGTAATATCAATTTATGGTAACAATACTTCTATCACATGTCAGAATATTGAAATGTGTGTATTACTTTTACAGATGAACAACTCAATATCAATGATGATCTTAGCGTGGACCAACTAATTACTGATATCTGTTGGAGCTATTGAAAGTCTAATAATTGAATCACAAATAACCTATTCAAGATGGATGACACATTTATTAACATCTAAACTAATGAGATGAACGTGTTCAAGCATGTCAAAAACTTTTAGCTTATTATTCTATTGAAGGAAACAATTATCTTATTCAAATTATACACTGACGTTTAATCACGGATGTATTATTATGAATATGAATCAAAATAATAAAGACGGAAATAGAAATGAGTTGTTTCATTACCAATAATAAAACTGAGAGAAAAACAAAATTGACTAACAAAGTTTTATATTCGTTTTTGTTGAAATCATAAAAAGATAATTATTAAACAGATTGTAACATTGAATATGACAATCATGAAAATATATTATAGACATCTTTTTAATGAAAGAATTTCATTGAGAAATTAGAAAACAATGGCAAGATTTAATTTTAATTGTTTGTCATTTTATAACATGACAATGTTTTATTGGAAAACATCATATCTCATTTCTTCGATTACTCATAATTTAAAATATGAATTATTTTTTCATCTAGTCTCAGAACTTTTTGAATGATCTACAAAACGAATAAATCTATTCAATAGATATCCTGCCTATAAGTGTATAATGTAGGCAACAAAAAACTATATATTTCATTTCTTATTGTAAATATCTATTTATTAGATTAGTTTTCTTATTTCTATTCTTGAATAACACATATGAATAAAATGTTTTATATCGATCACGTATTAATCATGTTTCTATTTTCTATGTTGTACTGTGTATACTTAAAGAACAAAAATAAAAATCTTAAAAAGAAAATAATTCTGAATTGATTCATATAATAAGTGAAAGAAGTGCAAAAAAAAAATTCTTTTTTCTTTTTCCTTCTTTAAGATGTCAATCTAATTGTAACTTGACAGATTTCTGTAGCTATTAAGTTTGAAAGAAAAAGAATTATTATACTTAGAAAACATAATGATTTCATTT